CCGTTTCAAATCTTGGGCCTCACACAATCTAAAGGTATTATACTTTATAAGTATCTATTAAATAAAAGGCTCAGTTTTTTTCTGCTCCTCACTTAAAATTACTTTTAACACAGGCCAACATGACCACATATCAATTACTTACAGAGTTAACTCTTGGTCACAAAAATATACAAGTATGTTAAAGATCACCAAGTTTCTTCTGGAAAAAGGACAACATAAGTCTGAGTTTCACTTTTATATCTTCCTGACTTTTTTTTTAAAAAACTCAGGAGTCTCCTGACAAAAGCCAATAGTCATTGCTAGTTTCAGTTTCCTGATAGTCCTCATTATTTTCAAAACCCACTGTGGCCTAGTGGTTAAAAGAACCGGATCTCACTGTTGAAATCCCAGAAACACACTGGGCAGGTAGGTGTACATGTGTGTCCAAAATCCTGACCTGAGGGAGAAATGGAGGGGAGGGATTGTGGCCACATGACCTCGCCCCACTGAGGGGAGGTGCTCCCTCTCTCTGTCTCTCATCTCTTTCTGGTGAGCACACGTGCCCTCTGGCAACTAAAAAAAATAAATTTGATCCTTATGCACGGTACAGTACTATGGTCTAACAAGAACTCATGGTGAGTAAAGGTTTTCTTTTTCTATTTCTTCTTAATGAGCCATTGTTATGTACAATTTTACCTAGCTCTAACTGGACCAATGACTGATACCACAGAGATTTCGGATTATAAACTCTTATCACCCACAATCCTCTACAGGAAAATTACAAATTCTTCTTTCACTGGCTATGTTAAGATTATCTTTGTTTTCAAAAATCCATCCTCCTTAATTTATGAGACTCTCTGCTGTCTGCTTTGTAATCACTTTTTCTTTAGAACTGTAATTCACAGAAAAGAACATCACTGACAATCGATTATATTTACAAAATAACCAGTAGAGCCAATGTTGAGTGTTCACAACATAATGTGATGTTATGCTGAAGGTAGTGAATATGTTTCTATCTTGGACTGGATTTGTTCTTTACACGCCATATACATCCTTTTAAAAACCCTACCACACTCTATAAAGATGTATAGGATTACATGTAAACAATAAATTACAATAATAATTGCTTTAATTAAACTAGATTAGATTTAAAAGACTAGCTGCCTCTTCTGGAACATTTTAAAACTGATAGAACATATCAGCTGTTTCAAGAACTGACAAAGTGCAACTTGTAGGTGCTGGTCTTAACGCTCAATGTTAGCATTATCTGTCTAAGCCAAATCAATAAACACACTTTACAAGAGTTTTCACAAAGAATGAGTAAGTAAAATGTATAGTAACATTACTACTAAATAAAGTCTATGGCGGGACCAGCAGTTGGTATAATGGTTATGTTGCTGTACTCCCATGAAGTCAACCACGGCTCGAGTCCTGGACCCGGTGGCTTAAACTCATGCCAGGTACATGTACGTGCATGACCAAGAGCCCGAGAGGAGAATGGAGGAGAAGGGATTGTGGCATGGCCATCCCCCCTGGGGGTGATTTCTTGCTTTCTGTCTCTCTGTCTCTCTGTCTTTCTGGTGAGCGTACACACGGTATAATAAAATCCTCTCCAAATAAATAAATAAATAAAAGTCTATAGCAAGCAGTGCCAAATAACACACAGAATACAATTCATGTCCTGCTCTTAAAGAGAAATTTAAAATACAGCTTCTCCCCCATTTAATTCTAGCCCCACATCTCCAAAACTGTGGCGATAACGTGCCAAAGTACAGAGATCCTCTCAATACACCCAGCCAAGCACAGTGGACATGCTCACACGACCCAGGTTCTAGTTATTCCTTTGCCACAGGCAGGAAGAGTAAGATACACAAAACAGATCTGTGAAACTAATATTCTTCACTAAATCCGTGAGGCCAGGAATAAACAGATGAACCAAGTCTATAGCCAGCCAGACAGGTTTACCTTTGATGGCTTCGGGTTTTGCACCTGTAAAATTCCATCACTCACAATTCACTTTTCTAGCTTAAACCATGGAAAGCAAAGGCTCTGCGATACTAAGCCAAAAGGTGGACTATGACGTTAAAAATTCAATGTCAAATTTTCTGATCTCCATGTGTTTCTCTACCTTTGTAATATTTTTTTGATAATTATTTTATTTAGCTTTATTTACTTATTTATTCATTTATTTCAATTTGACCAAAGAGGGGCAGAGTGAGTGAGAGAGAGGGGGAAAATGAGAAAATAAGCCGCCAGATCCAGGACTCAAACTGTGGTTGGCCACATGGGAATCCAGTGCTACCTGCCAGCCCCTACCTTTGTAATCTAAAGAGGAAACCGCTGAAATACAATGCATTGGGAAAATTTAACAGTAAAAGATACCACTGATGCCTAAGACAAAGTATAAAACCTCAAATGTTCCAGCCTCAGTCTTAAAAACAGGGCTATTTGTGGCCAGCAGGTGGTGTAGTGGTTAAGGCACTGGACACCTACATGGTCAACTGCAGTTCGAGTCCCAGACCCAGAAACTTGAAACTCATGCCAGGGTCGTGTGCATGTGCCCAAAATCCCAAGAAGAAAATGGAGACAGATTGTGGCATGGCCATACCCCGTAGGGGGGTGATCTCTCATTTTCTGTCTCTCTGTCTCCATTTCTCCAGCACGTGTACATACCCTATAACAAAAAATCTCTTCCAAAAAAAAAAGAAAGAGAGAGAGAGAGAGAGAGAGAGAGAGCAGATTTCATTTTTTCTAAAATATCTCTAGTTTGTAGCTAGGCATGTTCTAGTACATTCAAAATGGCAAATACATCTTTTTCTCCTGGCAGTAATAGGTCTCACAGGTAAAAATACACAGCTTATCAAAAATACACATTTGGAAACTGAAAATCTCACTTTCTTTATTTTGCCATACACTTCAGGCCCCGCTTATTAGTTTCAATTCTGCTCTGGCTCTATTTCCAGTCAGTTTCACTTCTGACTTTGCTGCCCCAAAGTTGAGAATTGTGATCCTGGGGAGAAACTGAAAAGTAAACACTACATAAGAACACAGCTTTTCCAGTCAAAGGAAAACGCGACGTTTTCACAAGAAAAACAGAGAAACAAAAAAGAAAAAATCTTAAATTCCCGATGGCATTTTTGTCACATAAAAATAGCGACTTTAGGATGATGTCTTCTAAGTTTCTAAAGCTTCTACATACAGTTTTATTTACGGGCCACAGCAGCTCCAAGAGTGTCATTCTATTTTCTGGATACACACTATATATGACACTTTTTTCCAGGTCACAGAGGACTTAAATATTTGTGGAAGGGATCAGTGTACACAACATAGGACTGCGCTTACATCCCATAACACGGCTTTCTCTCTTACCAACAAAATGATTTTTTTTAGGTTTTTGCCATCGGCCTGTTGTGCCTGTCAGAGAGAGACAGAGAGAGGGAAAGTGAAAAATTAAGGTGGATGGCTATGCCGTAATCCCACGCATGCCCCCACCCCCGCACGCCCATCATGAGCTTCAAGCCACCGAGTCTGGAACTAGACCCACTGTCAGCTATGTGGGAGTCCAGCATCTTAACCGTGACACTACCTGCTGGCCCGCAAAACAAGACTTTTTAAAAATGGTAGATGATCGAATTAGATGAACGAAAGCAAACTACCTAAATAAACATATGTTTAGAAGTGGGCAATATATACCATGTACAGCTAAATTAAGCTTAACACCTGCTCTTGTGCTGCTACCATTTTTTTTAAACCATATATACTTTTTTAATTTTATTTAACCTTCTTTCTTTCTTTAAATTTGACCAGAGAGGGACAGAGTGAGAGTGAGAAAGTGAGAGAGCCAAGCCCCAGGTCCAGGACCCAAACCACGGTTGGCCATGTGTGAGTCCAGCGCCCTTAACCATCATGCCACTTGCCAGCCCCATTAACCTTGCATTTTAATCCCATTGAATCCAGTCTTTCCTTCCTCATTTTAGGTTATAAAGTTCTTCAAAGAAAAGATTCATACGCAAAAAAAGAATTGAAAAATAAAAATATACTGAGTTCCTATCTGTGTATAACCTGCACAGTGGTAGGTTAGGGGCTGTGGGAAATAAATCAGAAAGCCTGATGGCCCCAAACTTTGAGATAAATGAAAACTTTCCACCAGAACCCTGCGGCAAATGGAAATCAAAGACCTAGACTGGAGTCCCTATGTTGACTCTGAGTGAATTTATAAGTTACCTGGCGCTTAGATTCCTCATCTGTAAAAGGAAATAGCTACTGATAGAAATCTCCCATGCAGAAGAATTCCAAATAATTGTAGATACTCTGCCCTCAAAGAAGGGAATTTAGGGGCCAGCAAGTGACATAGTGATTAAGGTGCTAGATCCCCCACATGGTTGACCACGGTTCAAGTCCCAGACCCAGAGGCTTGAAACTCAAGCCAGATGCATGTGTGAGCGTGCCCACAATCCTAAGAGGAGAACAGATAAGGGACTGTGGTGTAGCCATACCCCCTGAGGGATGATTTCTCACTTTCTCTCTCTCTGTCTCTCTAGCAAGCACATGTGCCCTATAGCAAAAAAAATTTCTCAAAAAAAAAATATATATATATATAAATTCTCACCACTTGGGCCAGCAGGTGGCATGGTGCTTAAGGCACAGGATCTCACATGGCCGACTGTACAGTTTGAGTTTAGGGCTTGAAACACATGCCAGGCACGTGTGTGTGCATGCCCAAAATCCCAAGAGGAGAAAGAAGAAGAAACTGCAGCCTGGCCATCCCCTCTGGGGGGTGATTTCTCACTCTCTCTCTGTCTCTCTTTGGCAAGCACATACACTCTATTGCAAAAATCTAAAATAGATAGATAGATAGATAGATATAAATTCCCACCACTCATGCATGGGCTAGACCTAATGACTTCCTTCTGAAAGGTGTAGAGGGAAGAGTGAAAAGAGTAACCTTACTGCAGAGAAACTTGATAAACACAACCTGTGGTACTGTGATTTATCTAACAAATATGTATTTTGGTCTTCACCTCCTTGTTCCAAGCCAGAGCTTGTAAAACCTTTACAATGTCCTCAGCAATAGGCATGCTAGGAGAATCTTTTCTTATAATACTTAGTCTTTGACCCCAGTTCCAAGAACAGAATGTCTAACTCTCTTGGAACTTCCTGGGTACTAAGAGCATCTTTTTCTTTTTTTCTTTTTTTTTTTTTTCTTTTGGAGAGGTTTTTGCTATAGGGTGCGTGCACTCGCCAGAGAGACAGAAAGAGACAGAGAGACAGAAAGCGAGAAATCACCCCCTGGGGTGATGGCCACGCTGCAATTCCTTCTCCTTCATTCTCCTCTCGGGATATGGGCGTGCACGCACACGCGCCCGACGTGAGTTTAAGCCACCAGGTCCGGAACTCAAACCGTGGTCGACTACATGAGAGTCCAGCGATATAGCCATTATGCTAACTGCTGGTCCCAATAAGAGCATCTTTTGCAACGTGGTAGCCTCTGGATTAGGGTTAGTCATCAGAAAGACCAAGCCATGGAACCAGCATATGGTGTAATTGTTACATACCTGGACTCTCATGTAATTGGCCACAGTTGAAGTCCTGGACCCGGTAATTTAAAATTCATGCCAGGTACATTTGTGTGTGTGCCCAGTATCCCAAGAGGAGAATGGAGGAGAGGGGACTGTGGTGTGGCCATCCCCCCGGGAGTGATTTCTTGCTGTCTGTCTCGCCAGCAAGCTCATGTGCCCCATTAAAAAAAAAGAAAGATCTGGGGACCAGCAGTTAGTATAATGGCTATGTCGCTGGACTCCCGTGTAGTCAACCGCAGTTCGCATTCCGGACCCAGGGGCTTAAAACTCATGCCAGGCGCGTGTGCGTGCATGCCCAAGATCCCGAGAGGAGAATGGAGGAGGAGAAATTGTGGCATGACCATCCCCCCTGGGGGGTGATTTCTTGCTTTCTGTCTCTATGTCTCTCTCTGTCAGACGAGCGCACGCGCCCTATAGCAAAAACCTCTCCAAAGAAAGAAAGATCAAGCCATGATTAGACACTTGAAACGTTCAGCCCTCCTAGCCCCCATCTTCCAGAAAGGGAGAAGGGGCTGGAGATTGAGTTAATAATCCATCATGGGTCAGCCCTGGGGCTGGGTGATAGCGGAGCTGATCCACAGGGTTGGTCACAGTCTGAGTCCAGCTTGAAAAACATGCTGGGCATATGTGCATGCATGCCCCAAATCCTGACAGGATGATAAAATGGAAGAGAAGGGATTGCAGCATGACCACACCCCACTGCAAAGTGCTTTCTGCATCCCCCACCCCACCCCCCCGCTCCCCGGCACATACACTCACAAAAAAATCCATTGTGTCTAACTA